CGCTCCCCGGGAGGATGCAGGCTCGGGCTGGGCCACACAACTCCTGAGCTGGGAAAAGTCACGCACTCACGGGCGAAGTCGCCGAGGAAGCCGAGTGAAGGTGGAGACCCAGCAGAGATCACCGCAAGGTGGCCGGGACAGCAGGGGGTTTACTGGAACCTGAGGGCTGGCCCGCAGAGGGGCGGGGCTCGTGGGCGGAGTCCGGAGCGGCTGGGGGCTAAGGCGGGGCCTGCGAGTGGGACTGAGATGAAGTTTTGTTTTTGGTAGTGAGCTTGCTCCCCACCCCTTTCACTCCAGTTTTCTCAGCCTAGCTTCTGCCTGCTGACGTTTTAAGACTTCTCACAAAACCCTTAGTTGACTTTAGGCATTAAAATACCAGATCTGGGGGGCACGGAGGTTAAGAGCACTTGTTTGCTCTTGCAGAGTTTCCTTTGTGTGGCTCACAAACATCTGGAACTCCACAGAATCCAACGTACTTTTCTGACCTCCAAGGTCAGTAGGCATGTATATGCATACACGTAGGCAAAACACACACGCGCGCGCGCGCGCACACACACACACACACACATAAATCTTAAAAAAAAAACGAAAACAGATCCAGACAAAGAAAATTTTAAGAATGAAGTACCATGTCTGAACCACCCCTATGTAGTGTATGCATACTCCCTGAATCATTTTACAAGTTCATTTTATTTCAACACCGCAAAAGTCTTGTGATGTGTTTAGTGCCACGTGCCTTTTCACTAGTGAGAAGGTACTAGCGAATAGCATGAAATGTGATAGATAGGTAGTTGTTCTATTTGCCTAACATCATTGGATTGTACTGATCTCACAGAACCTATGGCGATGGGTACTCAATATCACATCTTATACTGAATGAAAATTTAAAACTTTTGCTCAAGAATGGGATAAAAAATATACAATGACAGAAGGACAGTAGTTAGCACAAACCTGTCAAAAATTAGTTCATTTAAATTGCTGAGAAAATGGGTGGGAGGAAACACTCAACAGAAATAGCCAAAGAATGGACTATGATGTATGAATGGTACCGGAGGAGAAAAGCAATCTCAGTCTTACCCAACAGTGAACCCTGTAAGCGACAGTCATGACCAGCGTGGAAAAACATGCCCACTGTGCAATAGTGGCAGGAATATCATGGGAATAACCAACCACTTTTTATCAGTGCAAGAACTATGGCTAGACAGGTCATAGGTCCTAGGAACATAGTACTACTAAATGGACAGAGTACCAAACCAACTCCTAATGACCTATTGTTAAACCCATAGATGAATTCACCTCTCAACTCTCTTCTATAAAAGCAGAGTCCCACAGTTAGCCAAAGTACAGAGAATAAGAGACTAAGGAAAGCTCAGTCCTAAGTGGCATGTCTGATTCATACCTCCTCCTCCCAAGACCCAGAAGGGATCATTAAAGAAGGCAGAAAGAAAAGAGCCAGGGTCAGTGAGTAACTGCAAGGAAACTTTCTGGGCAGTTTCCCATATGAACTCACAGCAATTGTGGAAGCCTGCAAAAGCTCAATGGACAAAATTACAGCTGGAGAAGGGCAATGGGCACTGAGTCTCACCCCCAGCTGAGGCAGTGTCTACTGGTAATTGGTAACTGCTGAAAGACAGAGAGTCACTTCCTTTAAGGTGGTTGGCCCAGAAGGTCGACCATGCTCTCCTTTAGTCTACTCTCAAGCAAGAAGGACCCAACATAAAATGCAAATTAGGTCTCTCCTAGTCACACAAAGAAAACATTCAAAACTCTTACCCACCTTGTCACTGGTCTTTATCTCTTACTTCCTTCTTTCTTGCTGCGGAAAATTTCTATTTGTCTTTCCATAGCTGGACTTTTCATGTTCATTTTATCTCCACAAAATGCTTTGTCCCTAAAGATCTTCACGACTAACTTCTTTGGGTATTAATTTGAAAGTTCTGAGTAAGTTTTTTTTTCTGGCCATTATTCAATTTAGGATTCAATTTAGGCTGAGGCAGTTCCGCAGTTACAAAGTACTAAATGCCTAGAATGAACAAGGCTCTGTGTTCAAAGTTAACATTGAAAGGGAAAAAAAGAAATAAAATGAAATTGCACAGAAATATAGTTATAGCTCTTTCTCTCTCATCTTCTTAGTTAGCATTTATCGTCATATAATATTTTACAACTGTTTTAACTTTTCTTGCTACTAGAAGATTAGGAAGCATATTACATGAACAAAAAAACTTTTATAAAAAAGAACATGATGTTTCTAGCTCCTAGGTATGGATGGAGGAGAAGGTTTATTGTAGATATAATAAAGCTGTAAAGTATACAACCAAAAGCATCTGGAAGAGTCCAGACTGAACAGGGCCATGAAAGGAGGGGAGTGTGGGGTAGTGAGAGAACAAAAGAAAAAAACCAGGAGACAAGAGGCCAGGAATGAGCCAGGAGACCAAGAAAGAGGTGTAGCCAAAATGGCTGGGTTATATAGTGAAGAGAATTTGGGGGCGGGGGTCCATACCAGTCCCTGAGCTATAGTGTTTAGTTAGGGTACAGGGAGAGGTATGCCAGCCAGGATGACCCTGTAACAAGTAGTTGCTGAGAATTTGGTGGCCAGAATCCACTTTGATATGCTGAATAGGCACCTCAGTTAGCCATTTGTCCAGGGTTTGTGACCTAACATTATAAATACATGATACATATTTATTGAATGAATGAGTCATACCTTTTTGTAAGTGAAAAAATCAGAGTCATTGAAATTACAGTATAATGAAAGCAGGTTACTAACTCTTCCAAAACATACTCCAGACAAATTATCACAAAACTAAAAGTGAAATTATGAATTAATAAATAAAAATATATTTAGGAGAAATCAAGAGACATTTATCTAAGAGTAACATACTGAAAATGGAAAAAGAAGTTGAAATTAGCCAGGTAAGAAAGTTTGGTCACATGGGAAAAGGAAGAAGGTATCTGGTAGTGGAATATGAAGGAATACTGGCAAAGAAAATACCATGTAGCGAAGCCTGCGGCTCACTGTAAGATCAAAAAGACAGTGGGACTGACGCTTACTGAGATGCATGTGATGTAGCAGGAGGAGGAGAGGGGTCAAGGAATGAAGCCAAAAGGAAAGGATAGCAGATACTGCAGTCTCTGTGTGCACAACAGTATAAGATACCCACAACAAACTTAAGAATGGGAATACATTTCTGATCTACCTTTAATTTCCTTTTCTTACAGGGCCAGAGAACAAATCCAAGGCCTGACATATTAGCACTCTACCACCAAGCTACAGCACCAGCTCTCTACCATAAGCTATATCCCTGGTCTCTAAACTGATAGTACCTAACCATGGAAAACCAAATAAGATTGCCAGAAAAATTTAAGATGCTGAAGCAAGTTTGAATTTCAGGTAAATAAGTTTTTCAGCATAAGTATGACAAATGAAATTTATTATTGGTGAGGTCATGAATGTAGCTGGGTTACAGATCCCTTGCTTAAGTTGCACAAAGTCCTGAATTTATTCACAACAATACAAATATACCCAGAATCCATTGTAACTGAGACATAGAAATGGAATTTCAGCATGAGCATGGCCTCCAATGGTGTATAAATATATTATTTAGCAATATTGAACTAGCCAGCAGTAGAGACAGTCTGTGGAAATGACTAGGATTCAGTAGAAGTTGAGAAAGACATACATATTTTCAATATAATATATTTTTATCATTTTATTAAACATGAAAGTTGATGAACTTCTACATATTTATTAAATAGGGCATGATGTTGTAGCATATATACATATATACATGGCATGATGTTTAAATGGCATGAAAGGTCCCAGCACCACATAGTGCCTTTAGCAAATAGGCATCTTAATAATTTAAGGCAATAAATGTAACTCATATTTAATTTTATTTTTTGCCATCTCTAGGATGCAACTGTAATGATTTCTGCACAAAAGGGGCATTGTCGGTGGAAGAAAGCCTGAAGATAATGCCTGAATCCTAACAATAACCACTCAGGAAAGCACTGGGATATATCTATCTGCATTTTGTTGTCGTCGTCGTTGTTGTTTTTTGAAACAGGGTTTCTGTGTGGCTTTGGGGCATATCCTGGAACTAGCTCTGTAGACTAGGCTGGCCTTGAACTCACAGAGGTACCATTGCCTCTGCTGAGATTAAAGACATACTCCACCGCCCAGCCTATCTGCATTTTTTAAATGCAGGGTTTAACAATCATATCCTGTAATACAGGCTAGACTGGTATTCACTGAGAAGCCCAGGCTGCCCTTAAATTCAAGGTAATAGTGCTAGAATTACAACAATCAACCTTTTTTTTCTTTACCGAGACAGGATCTTTCAGAGTTCAGGCTAGCACCCAACTCATTACATAGCTGAGGATGGCCTTGAACTTCTGGTTGTCCACCTCTCCAGTGCTGGCATTTTAGGCATGTGCTACCCCTCCAGTCTGTGCTGGGAATTGAACCCAGGACTTCATGCATGCTAGACTCTGAACGTCTGGCTATTGTAGGGTTCCTCCTCTTCCTAGTATTTCTTGACTCAGACACGGTGGGGCTTTGTTTCCTCCTCTTCTCGATGAGTTCCCCAACTTTAGTTTCCACCACCTCCAGCCTCTGAATTTTTCCACTGTCTTCCTTATGTGGCACAATTTAATTCATTCAAGCATTTATTTTCTAAAAGGACCATAAGTGCCAGGATTCACTTTACCTCTGAAGACTTTGGAGAATTATAGAAAAATTGCTTTTAATCACCTTTTCTTTCATGCATACATTATTGGGTCTACTTTAGAGCTTTGAGTTTTGCTCTGTTAATTTATGCTTTGGCCAAAGGGAGGAAAAGCTCCCGCAAAAGTTAGGACAACCGCCAGTGGCCAGAGGAGGGCGCTCCCGCTCAACTGAGCTTGCTGTGCACATGCGTGATGTCGTCCGCGTTCGCCCCCCCCCCCGTCGAGCTACTTCCGGTCTTTGGATCCCGAGACCCGGAAGCTGCGGGCGTGGCGGAAGTGCGGGCCGGGAAGCTGGAGAGCTGCGGTCTTGAGGAGCCTTTCGCCCCGCCCCGTTCTGTCAGGCTGCTGAGCTGTCAGTCATGGCGCTGCCCTCGCGACTGTGGCGCCTTCTCCCTCTGCGACGCGGAGCCACCCAGAGCTTCCGTCAGCTGGCGAGGACCTGGGGCAGCCGGGGACACTGTGGTTCCGAGGTAACCCGCTGTCCTGGGCCTGCCCTCTCCTTCGGCAGGGAGTCCCGGGTGGTCCTGCATCCCGGCTAGACGTCCGTGGAGCTTGTGTGCGTCCTCCCTGCCCTTCCTGTCCGAAAATAGAACAGGAAGGGTTGCGGCACTCGGGTTATGCCCAGCGTGATGGCTCAATGCTGTAGTTCTGGCTACTGAAGAGTCCGAGGCAGGAGGGTTGCAAATTCAAGTTCGACTTGGGCTGTCGAGAAGGTTCAAGGCTAGTCTGGGCAATTTAGTGAGCCTTTGTCTCGAAATAAATAGTTAAAAAAGAAAGAAAGAAGCTCAGCATTACAGCCCTTGCCTAGCACCCTGAGGCAAAAGATGCCTGTGATCTAATTTCGAAATTTTCAATAAATAAGATAATTTATTTTTTTATGTAATTATCTTTGAGTTTCTTTATTTCTATACATGCTAAAGCTGTCTGAAAATTTTTAATTGTCTTAGTTCTGATATTTTTATTAGACTGGTCATGACCCTCTTTATTCTTTAAGAGGGATGGCATTGGTCCCTAAAATATATTGAACTGTTTTTGTTATTTTAAGCCCTAAAAGACGCCTTTAAATGCCTACTTAATACAAATATTTATTATCTATGATGTGTGTAGGTCAGGTATTGGGTGTCTAACATAAGATCTCTCATGAGGTTAAGCCAGGCTTTCAACTGTTGAGGTCTTATTTAAAATCTCAGGATTTTGTTTTGTCTTGCTTTGTGGTTGTGTTTGTATGCTTATTTTGACAGGGCCTCTTTAATGGCCAAGGTTGACATTGAATTTAAGGTGTAGCCCAGGTGGCTTTCTTTTCTTAGCCTTCTGAGTGCTGATATTTCAGGTATGAAAGTTAAGCCAACAACTTACCTTCCTATTTACTTTTTTAAACATTTAATTTATGTTATGCTAATTTATGTAGGGGTGTTTTTCGGGCATGTATGTCTGTGCACCAAATACATGCCTAGTACAGGAGGAGACCAGAAGAGGACATCAGATCCCCTATTCCCCAGAAGCTGAAATTACTAATGGTTGTTAGTCACCCCATGGGTGCTGGGTACTGAACCTGGTCCTGTAACATGAGGGCCGGCTTGTTGGGGTTTCTGTCCTGCCCAGTACTCCACAGCCGGCAAGCCCAAAGAAAATCACACACAGGACTCCATAAGGTTATAAACTGATTGGCCCATCAGGTCAGGCTCCTTATTAGTCCTTGTAACTTACATTAATCCATTATCACTATCTATGTTAGCATATGGCTCCGTACCTTTCTCAGCTGGGCAAGTTACATGCTGCCTCTTCGGTGGTCTGCGCAGGAGTGGCAGAGGGAGCTTTTGCTTCCAGAATACTCCCAGTCTCTTTACTCCACCCCTACTTCCTGTCTGGCTTTCCCACCTATACTGCCTGCCTGGCCAATCAGCGTTTTATTAAAATATGATTGACAGAATACAGACAATTCTCCCACACCATTTCCCTCTTTTTTTTTTTTCAACAAAGGAAAATACCCATAGTCCATTTGTTGGGAATGTGGGCGTAGTATTTCAGGCTATCTGTCTATTGTGTTATTTTCATTGGTCAATAAAGAGACTACCTTGGCCCTTTGATAGGACAGAAAATTAGGTAGGCGGAATAAACAAAATAGAATGCTGGGAAGAGGGCAATGAGCCAGACGCCATGGAGCCAGCCACCAGGTCAGACATGCTGAATCTTTTCCGGTAAGCCACCACCTCGTGGTGCTACAGATTATTAGAAATGGGTTAATATCAAGATATGAGAGTTAGTCAGGAACTAACTCTCTAGAGATAATGGGCCAGGCAGTGCTTAAATAAATACAATTTGTGTGTTGTTATTTCTGGGACTAAGCTAGCTGTGCGGGAGCTGGGTGAGGCGAAAAGCAGGCCTGCCTGCAGCCCCTCACTACATGGTCCTGTGGAGAAGCAGCCAGTGCTCTTAACCAATGAGTTATCTCTCCAGCCTCTCTTGCTTTTTTGAAAGTTCAGTTTCTAAGGATAGAAGGAAGAATTTCTGCTTCTACACTTTCATATGGCAATAAGCAGATATTTTCTCCACAAGGTTGTTGTTGCCAGCAGACATTACAGCTGACTTTCCCCAAGATGGGCAGGGAGTCAAAGAGGATAATGAGAGAGTGTCAACTTTGTGGTCTTCCAGCCACTTAATCTTGGAAAGTAAGGTCAGAAAATCTACAGTACATGTAAAGGAAAATATCATACAAGGAACAAACTGCCTTCTTTTTTGGGGGGAGGCAGGGTGTGTGTGTGCGTGAGCCAGGGTTTCTCTATGTAGCCCTGACTGTCCTTGAACTAGCCTTGTAGACCAGACTGGCCTCGAACACAGAGAAGTGCAGGGATTAAAGATGTGCACTACCATGGCCTGTGATAATTGCCTCTGACAACCAGATTCAGAAAACCTTATAGACTGAGTTGCTTGATCTTCTGACCCACTGTGGAAAGCTAGAACTGAGTCCCCAAAATTGTTCTCTGCACGCCACATGACATCTGTACTCACACCATACAATAATAACTACAAAATTTAAAAGCCTTATGAACTGTTTTAAGTATTTCTGATTTTAGTTTAAGATTATTGGAAGCCAGATAAGGCATTTAAAACCAGGTAGTCATTTCAATAGATTCTCATAGGAAAAATAAATGTGGTCAGAATGGATATGCAAGAGTGAATGTTACAGAGAACTTGGTGTAGGATAGGTAAGAAATGTTATTTGAACTCTAGTGGAAATGTAAGTAAGTAGATGAATGAGATCAAAGAGTTTGACAGAATTACAGTTTCGTGGTACAGGTTATGAGAAACCCTGTTGTTGTCTCGAAAAAAGTAAATACAAATAAAAAGACCAAACCAAAAAAAAAAAAAAGAGTAAAGGAGAATTCTTTAGTTTCTAGCTGAAACAGCCTAATGGATAGTGTGAGAAATGACTACCAAAAGAAATTTGAGGGGTAAAGGGGAAGTGAGTTATATTTTGGACTATATTAAGAAGGCCAAGTTGGCTTATGGATAGCTAAGAAGTCTGACAATTAATTATCTTTAGAAATTTTAGCATGTAATTATTTGTTTGCTTTGTTTTTCAGACTGGGTCTCTCTTTGTAGCTCTGGCTGGCCTGGACCTCACATAGATCCTCTTGTCCCTGCCTCCTAAATGCTGGGATTAAATGCAAGAACCACCATAATCGGCTCATAAATAATTGTATTTTTCAGCCATGGTAAAATATTCAAAGTATTTAATATTACACCAAGAAGTAGGCCTTGTATCCATCACCGGGAATTCTAATAGTTAAGAGGAAGATATTGTGGCAAAAATTACAAAGAAAAGGGGAAGAATTTTAACATATTCCTTTCATCTAATGATTTTTAAAAAATGACTCTAAAGTCAGTAAAATTAATGTTGAAGAAATAAAAATGTCTGAGAGCATACAGATGCGGGAGAATTGTCTATATTCTGTCAATCACATTTTAATAAAACGCTGATTGGCCAGGCAGGCAGTATAGGCGGGAAAGCCAGACAGGAAGTAGAGGTGGAGAAAAGAGACTGGGAGTATTCTGGGAAGCAGGAAGCTCCCTCCGCAGTTCTGCCCAGACCACCAGAGAGGAAAGATGTAAGCTGCCCCGCTGGAAAAGGTACTGAGCCATGTGGCTAACGTAGATAAGGATAATGGGGTAACATAAGTTATAAGAGCTAATAAGTAGCCTGACCTAATGGGCCAATCAGTTTATAACCTAAGGTAGATTCCGTGTGATTTTCTTTGGAACTTACCAGCTGTGGGATACGGGGTGGGACAGATACCCCAACAAGTCGACCCTCATGTTACAGCATACTTATTATATGAAATGGTTTTAAGAATTGTAATTATATTTTACTTTCTGTATATATGTTCAGATGCATGCTAGAGTGGAAAACTTGTGGGAATTGGCTTTCTGCTTTTATCCTGTGGGTCCCAGGGATTGAACTCAGGTCATAAGGCCTTGGTGGCAGGTACCTTTATCCAGAGTCATCTTTATGGCTTTGTTACTGCTTAAGAACTCATTATAAAAAGCATTACATTCCACTTTAGAGGTACAAGGTGAAGTGGCATATTCTAGCTGTTGAATACATTCTTAAAGTTATCAGTGTCTTGGAGGTGTCCCGGGCCTTTTATTTTAACCATAGAAACACTATTTTTTTCTACGTTCCCAGAGATAAATAAAGGAATAAAGGATTGCTTGATATTAATCAAACTGATCAGAACTCAGCAGATGAACTGTCAATTTATGAATTAACAGTGAGAAATATAGTTACTCAATGGCAATATACCCTGTTAAGAAAATTATATATTACTTCAGCACAAAAAGTTGAGCATTCTAAATGTGACATTTTTCTCAAATTACAGTAGTATATACAACCTTTCTCCTGTGTCACTACCTGTGGATTAGTAGGCAACTAAAATTTTATGTTAAATATATTGGTCTTTTCCCCTTTAATTTTTTTTTTTAGGCACTAACATCATGCCTATAAGCCTGGCATACCATCTCCTTAGTCCAACTTTTCCTCTCTTCCTCCTCTTTTTTTTTTTTTTTTTGATACAAGATTTTGTGTGTACCAGGTATGTAACTAAGGGGACCACAAACTCCTGGTCCTCCTGTGCTCACCTCCCTGGCTGATACTGTGATGAAGAGCACCGCCAAGCCCAGTTTATATGGTGCTGAAGATCCAACCCAGGACTTCTTATCTACTAGGCGAGACTACAAACTGCTAATTAAAAATTAAGAATGCATTCTGAACATGAAATGCTATTTTGTGGCTGATTTGTCACTGGTGCTAATATTCTTGAGTATTCGTTTTTAACAGAACATTCAAAAAATTAGAATGTGATATATTTTCCATTTTTTAGTCTAAGTCTATATCAAAAGTTTAGATGTGTATTAAATGTAGATTCTGAGAGAATCTAGATGAGTCAGTGTGTTTTTTTTTGTTGTTGTTGTTTGTTTTTAAAAACTGAACAAGCAGGCTGGAGAGATAGCTTAGTGGCAGTGGTTAAGAACACTTGATGCTCTTTCAAAGGACCTGTTTCTGTTCCTAACACCTACATGGTGGTTTACAATCATTGGTCACCTATATGGTGGCTTACAACCTGTGGTAACTCCAGTTCCAGAAGATCTGACACCCTCTTCTGACTTTTGGAGGATCCAGGCATGCACACAGAACACACACATACTTGCAGGCAAAGCACTTATGGACTTAAAATAAAATAAATGAATCTAAAAATAAAAACAAAACAATAAAAGGAAATAGCTAGGAGAGTATAGCTCCCATTTACCTTAATAGGAAAAACTGAGAAGAGAGGGGTTGGTGGGAAGAATCGTGTCTTGAAATTCATAATACACTTCATATAGAGACAGATGTTGAGTTATTCTCAAGTTTAGAAGGGACATCCAGGTTAGAGATAGAGTGGGTCAAATCTGGTATTTAAAACTGTGAGAGGAAATAAGAACACATATAAAACAGAGGTCTAGGATTAAGCTCCAGACATGTACAACAGATAAGGAGACATTGGAGATGAATTAATAAAATAGAAGGAATGGTTGTGAGACAGGAGAAAAAATCCAAGAGAATAATATTTCAAAAACAAACTAAACTGTTTTAACAGTAACAAAACACAATGCACATTACAAAGAAATTTGTTTTGAGTTAATGAATATGTTCATTATCTTGATTGTGCTGATGAGAATGGATTTTCCCATCTTATATATGTCTTAAAATTGTACCCTCAAGTATGTAGTTTATTAGTGAATATTCCAGTAAAGCTGGTCTTAAAATTTAGTATAAGTTCATGACTTGTCTATTTTTATTCCTATAATGTTGTTTTGCTAAGAGGAAATAAAATACGTAATCTGTGGGTTCAAGAGAAAATAGGAGCTAGAAAGTAGAAACAGGCAAACAGGATGGAGAACGTTTTGAAAGAGTTGGGAATGGAGACTGAAATGAGATTTAAAATCAAGGGGAAGTGTGCTTTTTTTTCAGCAAAAAATTAAAACCTAAATCTTACAAGAAATTAAACATAGATCTTACAAGTACTTTACCACTGAGTCACATATCTGGCCAAAGGTTGTTTCAGAAGGAAAAAAAAATAGCTGGAACCTCTTAATCCCATCTTTAGAGGCAGAGACAGAAGGACCAAGAAGCTATTCAAGTCCACCTTGGGCTATAAAGTGGGATCCTGTCTCCAAAATATTGAAAAAAATTACAGGCTGCTTTTTAAATAAAGATAGAAGTTTGTTTTCATGCTGGTCAAATGATTTGACAGAAAGGAAAAAATGCTACTGTGTCAAATAGAAGAGGGATGGAAAAGGGGAAGAGTTGTAGGAGTGACATGTTTGTTCTCGTAATTGGGCAGAATTATCTGATGATGATTGTAAAAACTGATTCCAAATCTGCTTGTTGTTTGAGGCTGGGCTTCAGGTCTATTCTAGTTGTTCTTGAACAGAAACTCAGCAACTCTGTTCCTGAGACTGTAATATTTTCCTGGTCCGCCTGCCTCTATCTCCTGAGTATTGGGATTATAGGCATATAATATGCTATCATACTCATCTTAAATATGATTATTCATCCTCTATTTAAAAATTATGGGGTCTTTGGACAAGATTTTACTTATTATGTATACAGTGTTCTGCCTGCATGCCAGAAGAGGGCACCAGATCTCATTGTAGATGATTGTGAGCCACCATGTGGGTGCTGGGAATTGAACTCAGGACCTCTAGAATAGCAACCAGTGCTCTTAACCTTTGAGCTGTCTCTCCAGAGCCCAGTATATATTTTTTATGTGTAGTAATTATAGATTTCAGCTTGACTGTAATTATAATTTGTTATATGTTGGTTTACAAGATAAATGAATTAATTGATAAGTTTATTATTAATATGTAGTACCTCTGTCTCTAAAAATTTCTATAATAATGTAACAGTCACTTTGCCATATTCATTCATTCATTTCGATGTTCTGGGTCTTGAAACAAGTGCTGTGTACATGATGATCTACTACAAAGATATACAGTATGGAAGGCTTGAAGTAGTTTTACTGAGGAACTGGCAAACAATTTTTTTTTCGGTTTCTAGCATTCAGTAATTACTTGCTTTAGAGGTGGGAAAAATGGTTATGTTTTGCTTAGGGTTGCAAATTCTTTATGATTTCTGAGTTTCATAATTTTAATATATTTTCTCTAGGTGATAAGAAACACACGACCTTTCAAGAGAGGCCTTTTGTTCTCAGCTTTGTCTTTTTTGGGTTTCGAAACCTACCAAGTCATTTCTCGGGCTGCCGTGGTTCATGCCACAGCCAAAGGTAAGCATAAGCTAAAGATTTTGAAGATTTATTTTGTGGGTGGCTGAATGTGTAACCCTGTGCACATATGCTAGAGGTTGATGTTGTGACTTCTTCTTTGGCTTTCCAACTTTTTAATTATTACTTGTTTAGTTATATGGGTGTTATCTGCATATATCTATATACAAAAAGAAGATATAGGATTCCATAGGGCTACAGTTACAGACAGTTGTGTGCTACCATGGGGGTACTGGGAATTGAATCCAGAACCTCTGGAAGAACAGCCAGTACTCTTAACTGCGGAGCCATCTCTCTAGTTCCTTCAACTTAATTTTGGAGACAAAGCTCTGCTTCCAAGTGCTGGGATTACAGATGTGTGATGCCAAAATCAGCTTTTTATGTGGGTACTCAGGATCTAAAAGATCCCATGCTTGTAGAGCAAATTCTTTATTCTCTCAGCCAAAGATTTTGAAATTTTTTCATTTGCTTATTTTTGAATGCATAATGAAACTAATAGTACTATATGTTCTTTGCTGTCAGTCAGTGATATATATATATATATAATTTAATAGTATATAATTTATATTTTTAATAATTTTTAATTTTAGTTATATATAAAATTTAATTTTGTTTGTGGCTTGTGAGGGGGCCACAGCATGGTAATGGAGGTCAGTTGACAACCTTTGGGAATTCTTTCCTTCTACTATATGGGGTCAGGAGATCCATCTTAACTTGTCAGCCTTGGTGGGAAGTCCCTTTATCCACTGAGCAGTCTTACCAGCCCTCTTTGTAGGACTTTTGAGCCAAGAATATCATTTTATTTTATTTTATTGCATTTTGAAAAGTTTGAAGGTTCATTGTATTTGTAGAATGAAACAGGATAGCAAAAGACAATGAATTGCACACTGCAGCATGTATATATTTCAGTGAATAGCTAATTCAGCTTTTTTGCTTTTTGTTTGATTGTGTCTATGTTTTGGGGAGTCTTGTTTGTTTTGAGACAGGGTCTCACCATGTAGCTCTGGCCAGCCTAGAACTCTGTATGTAAAAGAGCCTGCCTATGCCAAGCTAATTCAGCTTTAAAAGAAAAAAAGCAGTTAAATCACCAGGGCATGACGCAGTCCCCCATTAGTCCCAATACTCAGGAGGTGGAGGCAGGCAGATCTCTTCAGTTACTAGGTAAGACCCTGTCTAAAAATGTAAAATTAAAAAAGCAAAACAAAACAGTGGATCAAGCAATAAAGTATTTACAATGATATGGAAATTTGGGGCAGTACAGCAATGGTGCTTAGTCTGTTAGATGAATATGAACTAACAAAATACATTGTTTACACACTCTTGTGGGATATTTCTAAAAATACTGCATACTTGGAAATAGGTTTGGTGCATGCCTGCCCTTCCAGCATCCTAGAGACTGATACAACATTCTGGACCTCATAGGATTGGTTTCTTTTTTCTTTTTTCGTTCAAGACCATCTTGGGCTTCTTAGGAAGCCACCTAAAAAATAAAACCAAAAGGAATAAAACAGGTACTGTGTACTTGATAATAAAGAAAGTCTAATTTTTTCCTAATAATCAGCACAAGGCCATGGTAGATTAGTTGTTTGACCTTGGTCCTAAGTTCAATCCCCAGTACTACTAATAAAATTACTGTTTTTTTTCACATTTTCCAATTCTAATGTAACAGAGTAGAAATCAACAATAAAAAGTTGGCCAAGGTAATTCAGTATGTTTGATAACTTAATTCATTTCTAAATAATTCACAAAGAAGGATAAAATTTGGACTAAGTTAAAGTAGAAATAGGAAGAAAATTAATAGCCTTAACTGTGTTTGTTAAAATAGAACAATGGAGGAATAAAGTGTCGACTATCAGAAAATTCAAATTAAGTAAAAGGAAGGAGATAACAAAAAATAAACAGAAATTGATGATGGGAAAAGTTGGGATGATCCTTTTTAATGGCTTAATAAAATATGGACCACTCAGATAGTAAACATGAAATAAACTACTCAGGTAGTAAATCTCAGAAGTACTATGAACCAAGAACAAAAGTATGTTTTGTGTGTGGAAAATTCAAGTAAGACTGTATAAGAGTAAAAACGCTGACTTAAAGACAGGAATCCCCACACTCAAGAGGCTGAGCTGGGAGAACCTAGTGTTTGAGGCCAGCCTGTGTTGCACAGAGAGACTTAGTCTGAAAATTCAAACAAAAGAATTGGGTGTCTAGCACAGCGGTATTGTGCTTGCCTGGTACCAGCAAGGCCTTGGGTTGATTCCCAGTACTGTTAAAACAAACAAAACAGGAAATAAGACTTAAAAAATAGAAAACAATAAAAATGAGCAGCAGAAAACCAGATTCCACAAGACAGTGATTAACTTAAGACATTTTATCTTCTTTTATATTTTGAGATGGAGTTTTACTATGTAATTCTGGCTGGACTGGAACTCAATATGTACACTAGGCTGACCTCAAACTCACATTGGTCTAACTGCTTCTACTTTCCAAGGTACACCCAGCTTAACTTCAAACATTGTTAAATACAATATATAGGTGAAAAAATGAAGGATGACAGTTTCAGCTAGTATTCTATTATCACAAATAAATACCATGACCACAGCAACTCTTATAAAAGAAAGCATTTAATTGGATCTTGCTTACAGTTTCAGAGGTTAGGCCATTGTCATCATGGCAGGGAGCATGGGTATCACTCAGGCAGACTCGGTACTGGAGAGGTAGCTTGAGAGTTCTACATCTGGATCCACAGGGAGCAGGAAGAGAGAGACACTAGAACTTGGCTTAGGTTTTTGAACTCTGAAAGCCCACCCCGCAATAACACTTCCTCCAAAATGGCCACATCTCCTAATCCTTTTAAGTAGTGCCACTCCTGCTGACTAAGTTTTCAAATATACAGACCTCTGGCGGCCATTTTTATTCAGATCACCACAGATGACTAAAGAAAAAACAGATATAGACTATATTCTAAGCCAGCAGAAAGGAAAGAAAATGAAAATCTCTTTAGTACACGCTTGGTCTGGAAATAACAAAGGAAAGAAACAAAGACATCAGTGTTGCTGTTTTCCAAGTTGACTTCTCTTTAGACCCGTGCACACTTCTGAGATGCCTGCCCTCGTGTAGTCATCTTCCATAATGAACTGACTGGACTTCGTAACTAGTTTCAGTCCTATGGCATCTTGGCACAAATGAGAGTATGTCACTTCATACCTATTAGGGACTGTTTTCTGGGCCTTATACTTTTTTGTCTGTTTTATCAAGGTACTTGGCTTTTTGCTTGCTAAGCACACTCAACCACTGTGCATTCTAACTGAATTTTATATTTTTTTTAATGTTAGTATCTGTGCTTACCACAAAGTGGTAGCAAATACCCAGTCTGACAAGAAATGAAGAAGTAGTCAAAAAACATTTCTTTAAAATTTAAACTCTGAGACAGTTAGCCACTGGGCCAAGCTCCTGGAGTACAATCGAAGGGGTGAACGATGATATGAACAAAGGGCCCAAGACCAAAATGGGGAAACCCACAGAATCAGCTGACCCGAGCTAGTGGGAGCTCACTGACTCCAGACTGGCAACTAGGGAACCTGCATGGGACCAAACAAGACCCTCTGAATACAGGTGACAGAGGTGTGGATTAGTTAGTATATGGGACCACTGGCAGTGAGACCAGGATATAACTCTAATGCATGAACTGACTTTGTGGAGCCCATTGTCTTTGGAGCTCCCATACTTTGCACAGTCTAGGCTCTGGGGAGGGAGGGTGGTCTTGGTCCTGTCTCGAGGTGATGGGGCAGATTTAGTGCTTCCTAGGGGAGGCCTTACACTCTATGAGGATGGGGATGGGGTCGGGGGGAAGGTGAGGGGAGAGGGAGGAGGGAGAAATGGGAGTGGCATGTAAAAAATAATTAATAAAAAATAAACTCTGTGGGTTAGATTACTAAATTGCAGTACCCTCCTGCAGGTAGAAACTTACTTGTAAACCACTTAGGAGATGATTTTGTCACAAGTGAGCAACCTAAAGGTTCTTCATGTATCCCTTCATTTCTCTTCTTTTCACACTCTTAAAACATTCCTCAAGGATGAACAAACAGACAGATGTTCAGTGCTAATTAAGTACTATTTCCTAGTATTTTTAATAGCATTGTTTTCTGTACTTGTGAAACACACAGAATTACTGGTGGGAAAGATTTGCCTCAGATCTGGATGATAATGTTATCCTGATCCTTGACTGTCAGTTTGCCTATTTTCCATGTATTAAGCAAGTCCTATATAAAGAAAACACAGAAGTTTGAAAATTTTGGTTACCTGAGCAAACTTTTATTTTTGGTTTTGAGCCTAGCCTTTACCTGCTGAGCCATCTCTCCAGCCCATCTGAGTATAACTTAAGGAGTATTTTGTTTTTGTATTGATGACTCTGATGTGACTGCAATTCATTCAATGAAACAAGCAAATGAAAACTAGAAAGTCAAAAGCTCCTAGCACATATACATGCCAGGTTTCACACCATTGATATTTCTTCCTTGAAAAAATTTTGCTCAAGTGTTATGAACTTGGGTGTATTCATTTTAGGCCAAGTTTAAGATTTCATTATATTTGTGTTTCTTACCTCACCACAGGATATCTATACTCTCATACTTTAACTTGAAAGTGATTTACTCTAAAAGTTAAAATTGTTTTATAGAATGTGGTTTCTATGTCAGCAGTACCTGTTGTGAGTCTGTAGTACTGTAACTGTATTTTTTCTTATGTATCACAGTGTGGTTTTCAGAATTCCTTTTGAGAATCAGAAGAGATTGCACATTTTAAAGGAAGGAAGGTAGAAAGGAAGGAAAGAAAGAAAGAGGTGGGAAACATTTACCCAAGGAAGACAGAAGGGGTGTCTGACACTCTGTAGCCGCCAGATGTGTCTACTGGGAAGCAAACTCTAGCCTTAACCACTGAACCATCTCTCCCTATATCATCCTTTCCTACAGTGCATAATAATTAACAGCAGCAGCAAGAAGACTGTAGTTTCTGTGCCATGAATTCCTCATAAGGAATTACTTTGTTTTTCATTTTTAAACATGTATTAATCAAATTTAGTACCCTGTGTTGTCTGGGTTGTGTTCCCTGTGGTTTCAGTAGATCACTTACTATATCACTTCATGCTACTGATACGGTACTTTTACCTTGATGGTTCAGAATTTCTGATGTAATGGTAGTTTCTGTGTCTGGTTTTGTTAGCATATATAACAGTGGTAATTTTTATTTTCATTTTATGCTTTGGAAGTTGAAGAAATACTTGAGCAAGCAGACTACCTATATGAAAGTGGAGAAACAGAGAAGCTTTATCAGTTGCTCACACAGTACAAGGAAAGGTAATGTATGATTTATCTGTGTTTGAGGTTAACTCAAAAAGCTTTTGTTAACAACAAAAGGATTCTTGGTATTAAAATTTTTGTATGACTTTTTATTCAAAGTAGTATTTCTTAGAGTTCATTTTATAATAAATCATTATTTAAAGTAAATGATTGAAAAGTGCTATTTGAATCTCATTGATTTGTAAAGATTGTTCTTATTCTACTTGAATGTTGAAGTATTTTTTCTGTTTTGCATTGGTTCATAAAAGTAACACTAAATATATGCATTTTATTATCATGAATATTTCTTGTTTTTTAAAAAAGTAATTCCTAATTGGTATAAGAGTTAAATGAATTTACTGGAGTTTTGAATGGGAGTAGTGTGGCACTACTGAATGAAAGCTGTGTTTAGAATTTTCAGAGAAACAGCAAATACTTCCATTTTCTGTTTTTAGTCCTAGACTACATGGTTAGTGTAGAATGTGCACTCTTTCAGAGGGTAGCGGTGGAAACCTCAACCCTATGAGTTGAATGTGACTAACTGGCAATTCCAGGTATTTACTTCTGGAATATTGAATTGCTTTTTATCTACTTTTATTAATAATCTCACCCCTCCTATTCCCCTCAACTTTAGTTGGTAGGTATCTGTAGACTAAGTCTTTACTTCTTCAGTGTGTTTTCATGAGTTGGCTGTGTGGGCATTTTACATTGCTTATTTGAAAAGTAAGGTGCACATTTTTGATACCTTTAGCTTCAACATTTAAGTGAATGTTATTTTTCATTAACAAAGAGAAAATACAAATTAGGCTTGAACACACATACATTTAATAAAAAGTAATTTAAGGTTAAAACATTTTTTATCTCTTGTGATTTTTAATTATTAGCCATTTTTTTGTCTTATATGCTTGTATTTAACTAACAGGTCTTCAAGGAGTTCAATGCCCTTACTTGATGTATGTCATACAGCATTATGGCATTGAACTTTAGCTTGAGATTGCATTTGTTCAATCATTAATTTTATGTACAAGTAAATAACCATCACACATCTTTTTTGGCCAAATATATTTGGGGGAAAAGGATCTCGCAGTTCCATTTTTATAGAGTATGATTCTTTCCATAAAGCTAATGTATTTTTATGGTAGTATCTGACCCAGTTAGGGGTAGTATGAAGTACAATTTTACTAAATCAAGCCTCATGTTACATGTTGAGCTTGAGAAAGAGTGTTCAGAGAACTTAAATACAACAATATTTTTTCAAGAAGTTGATGTTTTAGATATTATGTATAGATAAGTTAATGCTTGCAAATAATATGGAAAATTTCAATAGACTTTTTAGCAAGTAAGGGCTTTTATGAAAGAAAATAATAGTATTAATGATGTGTCTTATATGATACTTGATATATCCTTAGTAAACCGAAAGAACTTTCATTAGTGATGTGACTGCTAACAGTTTCTCAGTGTGAATTAAGATGTCTTTATATTTTTTCCAAAATTAGTGAAGATGCAGAGTTACTGTGGCGTCTGGCACGAGCATCACGTGACATAGCACAGCTTAGTAGGACGTCAGAAGAAGAAAAAAAAGTTTTGGTGTATGAAGCTCTAGAGTATGCAAAAAGAGCACTAGAGAAAAACGAGTCGAGTTTTGCTGCTCATAAGGTGAGTTAGTTAATAAAATGCCATGTGAGGAAGGCCGTGTTGTTCTCTACTGACCCATTATCCCTAATTTATGTGAGGAGTTTGAACAAGTCATCTAACTACATTAGTATGTTGATAAAATACTTCTGTGAATGCTTATGAGTGCCTGTTCTTAAACAAATGCTGGAAGTTACCAGTCTTTATCTGTAGTTGGTATAGCAAGCACTTGACATACTATATTTAATGCTGAGTATGTTGGTATAAACCTGTAATCTCAGCAGCTGGGGAAGCCAAGGCAGAATGGAGAGTTCTGGGATAGTTTAGGCCACATTTTAAGACCTTGTCTGAACCAAGCCCATCCCCTCACCCCCAACTTACAATGTTTCTTTTCCTCACTGTTTCTGGTGTACTTAGCAGTGGAAGTATAGCAGTTGGAAAACTGAGAACTAATGTAATTCCCATATCTTAGCTAGCTTTTGCATCTCCTGACTGGTTTTCAGTAATTCAGAGAGATGGGTGGTGAGGTCAACGCCATCATGGATTAGGATTATTTTTTCTTTTAAGAAGAAAAAAATTTTTTTGTTTTTTTTTTTAAATTTTTTTTTTTAAAAAAGAAAACAACTATCTTTTTTTTTTCATTATACATACCAATCCAAGTTCCTATTCCCTCCCCTTCTCCCATTTCCTCCACTTACCCCTTTCCACTCCCCCTACTCCTCAGAAAGGGTAAGGCACATTGCTTTGGGGAAGGTCCAAGGCCCTCCCTACTATATCTAGGATGAGCAAGGTATCCATCCAAAGAGCATAGGTTCCCAAAAAGCCAGTACAAGCAGTACGGATAAATTCTGGTGCCATTGCCAGTGGCCCCTCAGTCTGCCCCAGCCATGCCTCTGTCAACCACATTCAGAGGGACTAGTTTGGTCCTATGCTTGTTCCTTCCCAATCTGACTGGTGTTGGTGAGAGAAAATTTAAAAACAATTTTAAAGTTTTTGCTTATTTTATTTGTATGAGTGTTTTGCTTGTATATATGTATATATATATATTCACCATGTGCATACCTGGTACCCAGGGGCTGGGGTCAAAAGAGGACATTGGATCCCTTAGAACTGGAGTTTCAGGACAGTTGTAAACCACCACATGGTATTGGGAACAGAACCAGGTCTTCTGCAGGAAGTGTTCTTAATTGCTGTGCCATCTTTCCACCCTTTCCATTTGAGTTTCTGTATAGCATTTTTATAAATCATCCTGTTGGGACTATATTCCATTGATTATAGATCAGATTGAGGAGGATTTTCATGATATTAGGTGTTCTAGTCCACTTTCTACTTAGTTAGACCTTTAATGTTTTACAACAGTGTTTAGTATTTTCTCAGTGTATTTGTTGCCTTAATTTGGTTAAATTTATTCTCAAATGTTTTTTGATCCTCTTAATTGTTTAATTTTTTGAGATTATTTATTGTTGGTGAATAGGAATGTCACTATCTTTTCATTTTGATTTTATATTCTGTGTTTGTTTGGAAATTACCAATTGGCTCTATTGGCTTCTATTACAGATGTAAAATCAGATGATATCATCTATAAAATTTGCTCTCTATTTTTTTTCCATTTGAACACTTTTTTTCCAAGACAGTGTTTCTCTGTGTCACTGGCTATCCATGAACTCACTGTGTAGACCAGGATGGTCTTGAATTTGGAGCTCTGCCTGCCTCTGCTACCCAAGTACTAGGATTAAAGGTATGTGCCGTCACTATCCAGTCCATTTGAACACTTCTAAAACTACTTTCAGTCCCCAGTTTCCCTGGCAGTGTTGAATAGTTGATGGAAAGATACTGTAATCAGAGAACATCCTTTTTTATGATTTCCATTTTAAATTATGTGTACATGTATGTGTCTGTATGTGGGTAGGTGCATGTGAGTGCAGACGCTCTCGTATTCTGGTCAGAAGTATTGGATCCTCCTGGAACTGGAGTAATAAGCAGTTGTTAGCTTCCCAACTCAAGTGCTAGGAATCCACTGAGGTCCTCTGTGGTGATATTTTGTTTTTGCTGTAACAAAGTTTACCTGAGGATCAGAATGTCGAACTAGTCACTATATGCCACAGAGACCAGGCAGTGGCAGCACACACCTTTAATCCCAGCACTCTGGAGGCAGAGGCAGAAAGATCTTCGTAAATTCACGGCCACCCTGAGCTACATGAGATTGATCCAGAGCCAGGTGGTGGTGGCTCACACCTTTAATCCCAGTACTTGGGAGTCACATGCCTTTAATCCCAGCAGTAGGGAGGTCGAGACAGAAAGGGATATGGCTGGGCCAAGAAAGGAATATAAGGCCAAAGGAGACAGGAGCTCATCCCATTCAGTCTGAGGATTTCATAGAGGTAAGAACTAGTAGCTAGCTGCTATGCTTCTTTGATCTTAAGATTTACCTCCTAATATCTGACTCAGGGTTTTTATTATTAAGACCAATTAGAAATTGCACTACAGTCCTTTGGAACAACAACATTTAACTGCTGAGCTCTCTCTGTAGCCCAAACTCTAAAAATGTTTAAAACCTGTATATTAAACATACATTGACATTTATTTAAATTATTATTTTTCACAGTATGTTGCTTATATCAGTAAATTTTTTTAAATTGGCATATATTGATCATACAAAAGGACATTTTCATAGGTGCATATAAAACTACACTCAATATCCTCTTATCTATTGCCTCCTATTTTATTTCCTCCCATATCCCTACTGTCTCCCTGTTACTTTATTTTGGGGAACCCCGTAAAGATAGTTCAGATTATCATGTAATTTCACCTCTTATATACTTCCTATATTGACTCTCCCATTTCCTCTTGCTAGATACTTTCCTTCCTTCAATTTCTCTGTTTGCATATCATATGCATGTATCTGTATAAATATCTAGGTTCCACAAATGAGGAAAAAAACAGATAACTTTTTCTGACTTATTTTGCTTAGTATGATGTGTCCATTTTCCAACAAATGACATAATTCAGTTATTTAAGACTCCTTAAAATTCCAAATATGATATATACATATCATATTTACTTTAAAAATTTACTGATTATTAAGGCTAGCATACAAAATTATGGGTTTCATTATGATTGTATTCTCAGTGTTTATTCATAGGCTAATCCCATAACATGGTAATAGTGACTAGTGCTGCAATAAACATTGATTGAACTAGTATCTCTGTGATATGCTCACTACTAGTGTGTACCTAGAAATCGGGTTATACGTTAGCACTTGTGTGTGTGTGTGTGTGTGTGTGTGTGTGTGTGTGTGTGTGTGTGT